ATACTGATTAACATTAGTGGCTGGTGGAAAGGTATCTTGTGATTGTTCAGTTAGAGATGGAACTCCTTTTGTTCTACTCTTTCCCCTCTTCTCACTACTGCACTTGACCAGTCTTTAAAAAAGAAACGAAAAACTTTTCAACATTAGTGTCATTAAAGTTGGAATACAACTGCTAAATTGAACTAATTTTTAAGTTGCAAGATGCAGTATTTTGACCTTTACTTTGGAGGAAATGCCCCAGTTAGGCTCAAGACCACTGATTGGCAAACATATCCTGTAGAGTCAGATAGTAAATATTTAAATATTTTAGGTTTTGTGGGCCATGTGGTCTCTGATGCAACTACTCATCTCTCTGCCCGTTGCAGCACAAAGGTGGCTGCAGACAACACGTAAACAAATGGGCATGGCTGTGTACCAATAAAATTTACTTACAAAGTCAGGCAGCAGGCCAGATTAGGCTCACAGACCTTAGTTTGCCAGCCCCTGCCCATGACTATAGACTCTAAGCACTCTTCTTACCTCTAGGGATCATGTCTTCCTAGCACACCCAGCATCCTTGCTGCGTCCTCCCCACCAAGTCTAATTTGTATGTCGCCGATTTAGTTAGTCATTGCCAGGTGATCAATGTCTCTCCAGACTGTACTGCAACATACAGAAGTTAACAGAATTCTGGAGAAGACAGGGAATGTATTTCACTGTCCATGTTGTAAGAAGGCAAAATGTTTAATCTACTTAATGCTGATGAAAAAGAATGATTCACTACGACAGTAGCTGCCAAAGTGTCAGAGGCTTGTTGATCTATACTGGAAGAACTGCAGCTGTGATTAGTAATGACTTGGTTAAGTTCCTGGTCATCTGCTATCACCTGCTAAAATCGATCTGGTTTCTTGTTGGAACCAGACAGGCAAATTAAAACAGCGTATGATGCTTGCTTTTTTTGTCCACATGTGTGGCTCCAACCCATTACAGCGCCTCTCATCTTGGTGCCTTAGATGAGGAGCACCATTCCAGTGGTTCCTCTTGGCCTTCTGTACCACTGTGACTCTGACTCCACAAGGCAGGGACCCAGTGTGGGCTTATCGGCCTAGGGCACCCCGCCCCTCTAACTCACTCAAGGAGATAGCCCGAGGCTCTGCACACTCACTTGACCCAGGTTGAGATGAACATGGCCTTCCTATGCTTCCACTAACAAAGGGGCTACAGTGGCATTCTGGGTCCCCTCGTACTCACCTGAACTCACACCCTATGTCCAATGGCCCTCAAGGGACTAGGGTCATTCACTCCTGGCCCTGGGCTGGGGGGAGGTTCAAGGAATATTTATTTATGTTTTGTACTTTTATTTATTTATTTATTTGAGACAGAGTCTCACTCTGCTGCCCAGGCTAGAGTGCTGTGGCATCAGCCTCACTCACAGCAATCTCAAACTCCTGGGCTCAAGTGATACTCCTGCCTCAGCCTTCTGAGTAGCTGGGACTACAGGCATGCGCCACCATGCCAGGCTAATTTTATATATACTACTAAAAATAGAAGGAAATTAATTGGCCAACTAAAAATATATAGAAAAAATTAGCCAGGCATGATGGCGCATGCCTGTAGTCCCAGGTACTTGGGAGGTGGAGGCAGGATTGCTTGAGCCCAGCAGTTTGAGGTTGCTGTGAACTAAGCTGACACCACAGTTAGCCTGGGCAACAAAAGTGAGACTCTGTCTCAAAAAAAGAAAGAAAGAAATAAAATAATAATAATAATGATGATGTCAAGCCCTCCCTCCACTTCAATTGATGGCTTCTGGGTCTGAGACTTGATTCTCTTCCGGTAATAAATAGAACAAGATCCTGACGTTCAATAGAAGTGGCCAAATCAGCTTTTTGCTCCTAGTTTACCCACTTTGGCTATTTAAACCAAGCAATACTCTTGCTATTGGCCTTTGTCACAGACCAGGGCTGGTCAAGGCTGCCCACTACAGCTTACCTCACATCTGATGATTGACACTACCTGTGTCTCATCTGGAATCCTGTCATCCATTTTTTCCCTATGGCCAACACTGGTTGAGAGAACAGCTTCCAGTAAGTTTTTCAAAATGGTGGTGAGTGTTCTTAAGTCCTTCCAGGGACAGACTTACCTGGTGTTTTCTCTGACAATCCTGCATGCCCTCCTGTGGAGGGATGATCTTTGAAGGGTGGTTCTAGCAGATGATAAACTGAGCAATTTGCTCAGAATTCCCAAATTTTGACACACAAGGGATGTCTCATTTCAATCCAGTTTCATATTCAACCCTCCTGCAGCATCCCTAAGACCCCCTCATGTGCTACAGGCTCTGTCCATTCTAGCCAGGCCTTGCAGCATTTTGTTAAGTCCATTTCCTTGTTGTTTTTGAGGCAGTCTTACTCTGTTGCCCAGGCTAGAGTGTTGTGGCGTCACCCTAGCTCACAGCAACTTCACACTCCTGGGCTTAGGCGATCCTCCTGCTTCAGCCTCCCGAGTAGCTGGGACTACAGGCATGCACCACCATGCCCGGCTAATTTTTTCTATATGTATTTTTTAGTTGGCCAATTTCTTTCTATTTTCAGTAGAGATGGGGTCTCGCTTTTGCTCAGGCTGGTTTGGAACTCCTGACCTTAAGCAACCTGCCCACCTCGGCCTCCCAGAGTACTAGGATTATAGGCATGAGCCACCGCACCTGGCCAAGTCCATTTCCTTTTGTAGTATGAACTTTTCCCTCTGTGCCATGTTCAGTCCTAATATACTGGTTTTCTGCAACATGGGTCAGATAGTAAATACTAACAGCAAACTTCTAAGGAGCCAGATAATAAACATCTTAGCTTCTGTAGGCCAAAAGGCAAAACTGGTGTTTTCACATTAAACTCGAAATAAGTACAACTTTTTGCACTACAGGTTTACTGATAATGGCATTTTTTTGAGGGAAAGTGTATGTTGCTTAATTGGAGTTCCTGGTTATCAAATTGTAAAACAAGAATTCTAAAACTCAATTCTTGGCCAGGTGTGGTGGCTCATGCCTATAATCCTGGAGATTGAGGTGAGAGGATGGCTTGAGCCCAGCCTAAGCACCATAGTGAGACCTCACTCCTTTCTAAAAAAGAAAAAACTAGCTAGGCATGGTGGCATGTGCCTGTAGTCCCAGCTACTCAGGAGGCTGGGTCAGGTGGACCACTTGAGCCCAGGAGTTTGAGGTTGCAGTGAACAATCCAGTCCAGCCCAGGTAACAGAGGGATACCACGTCTCAAAGAAAACCAACCACCACCAATAACCATTCTTAGTTTGTGGGCCAAACAGGTGGCAAGCTGGGTTTGGTTTATGTGAAGTTTGCCAATCCATTCGGGAAACAATGAGACTCGGGGCAGACCACAAGGGGGGCATATATCTTATGACTATCACCTACCTCAGGAAGACTTTGATACGGTCTTCCTTTTAACAATAAAGTGCTCCATGGTTGCAGTTCCAGAGATTTCGGGTCACCTAGCACATTTCCCCAACTTTCCTATCCTAGGTTCCTGAAGCCCACTCCTTTCATACATGTACCCTAAATTTAGCAGACTTCCAGGAGTGAAGGTATGTATGCCTTGAGAGTCCACTGCCCTATGAAATCTGAGGTCTCAGCCTCATGGTACCTCAGCCCATGTAAGTGCAATTTCCAAAGCTCCTAAACTGGAACTCTACCTGGGTGGGTTTCTCCAGTCTCCCTCACAACCTGTGGACCTCTGCTTCCCTACTGGTTGCTGTTGCTTGAGCACGGTGGGCCCAAGGTATGGGCAGAGACCCTGGAACAGGGCCTAGAATAAGGGCACAATTCCCGTTGTCTTCCCAGTGCATGTTCCTCATTCTGCCTGTGTCCCTGCACCTTGGCATTCTTTGGTGATGCACCCAGGACAGGCCATCTGATGCAGTACACTGGGGCAAAGGTTGCCAAGGTAAGCTTGGCCTGCAAAGACCAGTGAGGATAGTCTTCCCACACAGACCTAATTTTTTAATGAAACCTTCAGGGGTATAACCAAGAGCATTTTCTTTTTAAAAGCAGAAAACACCAGATGATAAACTGGTAAAATTAGAACATCTAGGTTCCATTATACAGTTATTAAAGACAAGTGGGAAAATGAAGTTGGAAAAATCATATCAAAACATTTTTGCATGGGATTATTATTTTTTTAAGACAGTCTCGCTTTGTTGCCCAGGCTAGTGTGAGTGCCATGGCATCAGCCTAGGTCACAGCAACCTCAAACTCCCGGGCTCAAGCAATCCTACTGCCTCAGCCTCCTGAGTAGCTGGGACTACAAGGCATGTGCCACCATGCCCAGCTAATTTTTTCTATATATATTAGTTGGGCAATTTATTTTTCTATTTATAGTAGAGACAGGTCTCACTCTTGCTCAGGCTGGTTTAGAACTCCTGACCTGGAGCAATCCACCCGCCTCGGCCTCCCAGAGTGTGAGAATTATAGGCCTGGGCCACTGCGCCCCACCTACGGATGATTTAAAAAATCATCCATTAGTAGATAGGATTCACTAATCATCCCATTAGTGAATGTTCTAACTGTTAAGATGACAGTACTACCATTTGCTGCGTGCAGTGCTGCATGGAGTATGGACACAGTTTTCCACTGCTAGGTGGAGAGAAATTTTAAATGGCCTCACTCAAAACCAAAGCTCTCTAGCTACAGGAATAATGGATGTGACTTCCGCATCAAGGAAGGGGCCACCAGGATACCATGAATGGCTTAAGACCACAGTGCACACAAATCATGGGTGCCCGGGGCTGCACGTGTCTACTTCACACATCCAAGGATGTATGTTTTCTAGTCACCATTTCCACCATTCACATAATTAACATTTTTATTAAACTTTTATTTAGCCTCATTGTAAGAATATAAGTGAGATCATAGATTTGATGTACGAAATTTTAAAATTCACACTAAAATACATTAGGAATAAAATGAATAACAACCCATTTTGCTACTAACTTTTGCTGAGTAGATAATCTTGTGCCAGCCATTGTGAAAAAATCTTTATTTTAAGAAAAAAATTTAGTTAACAAAAAATTTAACAAGTTTCACTTAGCAAAATACACCCAAAAGGAAATCACAGTACAAAGAAAGTTTTAAGTCAAGGCCTCACCAATTCCTACAGTATTAGTATTGTGTCTCAATTCTCAAAACTAACTCTTAAAAAGCTTAAACTTAACCTAAAAGATTTTAAATGAAAGTATAAACTAGAATGAACATGAGAAGTATTTCTTTTTGAATTAGGGAGCTAGCACCTTTGAGTTTTCCAAAAACGCACGTCTCCCCAGTGTGTTCACTGCGATGTGGTGGCAAAAGGTCCTTATATTTAACATACTGAAACTACTTAAACTGAGATAACATCACTCTGAAGTATACTACCAAAATGTTAATTCAGAAAGGCTGAAAATAGTTTTAGTTTACTCAATATCACATGCTAGAAGAAAAGTTTGCATAAAAAAACACTGAAGAGGTAATTTTTTTTAATCCAGATTTCACAAACTCATGGTGCAAAATGGGTCCCACAGCTTCCTCTAGTTATAACTGCTCTTCATTCATTGCTTGTTGGCTGCCTGTGAAAATTTGATTGAAAAATCTTCAACATTTCTACAAAACTAATCGTATCCACCCATGCTGTTCTGACCACTGTAGCTAGCCCCGTAGCAGCCGCTCACTGACTGACTTTCCAGACCGCTGTAAGTGGCCTGGGCTGCTGTTACCCCCATGCCTTGCATCACCTGGCTGCTATATGCCCCATTGCTGGCCCCCGTTGTCGAATTCAAGAAAAGTTCTATGTATCTGTGCTGCATGTTAGCCCTGTCTTTGGACATAGCCGCCACAGCCTCTTCGTGAGTGGCAAACTCCACGTCTGCTTCACCGGTCACTCTTCCATCTGGGCCAATCTCAATATGCACTCTCACAGGGTTCAGTGGAGAGAAGAAGTTGTAAATGTCATTCTCGGTTGCTTTGTAAGGAAGCCCTCTCATGTGGACGCAGTGCCCGGTGGTGCTCTGCACTGTGAACTCGCTGTCTCCGTATCTGTGGTCGTACATGCCTGAGAGACAGTAGCTGAGGTCTCTCCCAAACAGGTCGGTGGTGAAGCCGTAGCCATCGCTGAGGCCGCTGTACTCTTCGTAGCCGCCATAGCCTGCACTGTAGGCGCCGGGCCGCATCCTCTCCAGGCCCGCTTGCTTCACGATGCCAATGTATCTCCTAGCTGTGCCAGGGCGGTCATAGGGCCCCGGCCTCTGCACAGACATAAACTTCAGAGGGGGATCTGAGTAAGACCTGACTTCATCCTGACTGCTCTTGAACACTTCAATATATCTGTGCCCTATCCTCTCCTTGTGCTTCCCCAGGGCCTTCTCAGCTAACTCCTGTGAGGCAAACTGCACAAAAGCTTCCCCTGTAATCTTGCCCTCAGGGTCCACAGGCAATGTGATCCCATTTGGCACTATTTCCAACCCTGAGAAGAACTGGACAATTTCTTCCTTTGTGCATCCAAATGGGAGTCCTCGAAGACGGACGAAGCCATCGTTGGCGCTGTCAGCACTGTTGGGACCGCTGTGCTTCAACACCCAATCCATCTCGGTTCTGTGGGACTTGAACACCTCGATGTACCGGTGTCCCATGCTTTCCCTGTCTTTTTTCAGGGCCATTTTTACATCATCTTCTGATTCAAGTTCGACAAAAGCCTCACCACTCTGCCTGCCCTCTCTAGTATAGATGAAATGAACACCTGCGGTCCCATCACGAATTGTGCAGTCGGAGAGGAAGTTCTGCACGTCCTCAATAGAGCAGGACCAGGGCAGGCCACGGAGCTTGACCACAAAACCTTCACCTCCCTCAGGGCCTAGCATCATGGACACTTGGCAGGGCAGATGTCAGACAAGCTTGGGCACAGCTTTTTTTTGAGGCTGAAAAGAAAGCAAAACTACTTTACATAAATTTTCATTTTATATGCTTAATAAGAATATGCACTAAATATTATTTCCTCCATCTTATACATGAGGAAGGCAAGAATGAATGAAGACTCAATCTCAGGCCAGGTGCAGTGGCTCATGCCTGTATTCCTAGCACTCTGGGAGGCCAGGGCAGGAGGATCATCTGAGCTCAGGAGTTGGAGACCAGACTGAGCAAGAGTGAGACCCCATCTCCACCAAATAGAAAAAATTAGCCGGGCATGGTGGCACATGCCTGTAGTCCCAGCTACTCAGGAGGCTGAGGCAGAAGGATCGCTTGAGCCCAGGAGTTTGAGGTTGCTGTGAGCTAATGCCACGGCACTCACTCTAGCCTGGGCAACAAAGCAAGACTCTGTCTCAAAAAAAAAAGAGCAAATGGAGTATGTGCAAATTTAATGTTTCAATAAAGTGTCATTTCCCGTCGAGTGTAACAGACGTAGTAGCTATTAATACTAGTGGTCTTTTCAAGAAATGTGGTTTATCATGTAGAAAAAGATTAAAGAGCTCTTCAAAAAAAAATAAATCCCTGTATACCCACAATAAAAAACAGACAAAAAGCATGGATAGGTAAGAAATGGAAAAGCAAATTTGTCATCAATAGATGTTCAACCATAGTAGCATCAGTGAAAATCAAACTAATGACAATGAGTTACCATTTAAAGCCCATGATGTTGCTAATAATTTTAAAATTTGATGTAGCCACTGTAAGCAGTGGCATTTAAGTAGCAACAGACCCTAATTACCAGAATGTCCCTTGTATGCTTATTTTTAATACCAAAGAAGTGAAAAACATTGTGATGGCCCCCAGTAATCATAGTATAAACAGCACAAATGAAACAATGTACATATAACAACCTGAAAGCATCATGAAGACCTAACACTGAGTATTTACTGATGAATCGTGATTAGGAATGCAATTACTTTGAAAAGCATACAGCCAAGGCAAAACCACCCTTGTTGATGAGTGGCATGGGGCAGGCTCTAGGGAGAAGAGGGGCGGGGGGGGCCCACAGGCATGGTGGCTCATGCCTGTAATCCTAGCACTCTGGGAGGCCAAAGCAGGAGGATTGCTTGAGGTCAGGAGTTCAGGACCAGCCTGAGCAAGAGCAAGACCCTGTCTCTACTATAAATAGAAAGAAATTAGCCATACAACTAAAAATTAGCTGGGCATGGTGGCACGCAGGGGGACTAACCTGTACCGCTAATGACCCTCCCCCCCACACAAATGTATTAATGCTGATTGTGCATGTAAGTTAAATAAACTTTTACTGTGCTTTAGTCTGAGAACACATATGGGTTTAGCTACCAAGTTACAAATTTTAAAATAAAAATGCTTTTTAGGATAACAGTGAAAGAAACAAACACAAGCACAATTATTATTATTTTTTTTTGAGACAGAGTGTCAGCTGCCAGGGCTAGAGTATTGTGGTGTCAGCCCAGCTCACAGCAACCTCAAACTCCTGGGCTCAAGCGATCCTCCTGCCTCAGCCTCCTAAGCAGCTGGGACTATAGGTACCCACCAACCACGCCTGGCTAATTTTTTCTATTTTTTTTCAGTAGAGAATGAGGTCTTGCTCTTGGCTCAGGCTGAGCTCAAGTAATCCTTGGCCTCGGCCTCCCAGAGTGCTAGGATTATAGGCGTGAGCCACCATGCCCAGCCATAAGCAGCTTTTTGTTCTCCACTCCCAAAAGGCTTCAGCCACCTCAGTGTAACATTGGGGAAAAAAAAAAAAAAGTAGCAGCTTCTCCCTCCCTTGCCCATGGATAGATATTATACTACCAGTTCAGAATCTCCTTATCGCACCATTGCACCAGGGCAAGTTTTCATTGTGTCTCTTGGCTGATGGGTATAGGCTCCCAAGAGGGGAGGGAGAGGGGGCTCCTTCAGGTATTGACTGTCTTGTCTTTGACCCACACCTCCTCATGCTCTTCACTCCTGCAAGAATCTGGAGGCTTCACTAAAGTTCCATTCCCAGCCTTAGGTCCCATCATCCTTCAATGCTCGAGAGTATAATCCATAGCTCCCCACCATTTCCCCTAGATCCCTACCTCCCCTGATCTCAACAGCTGTCAGGAGCCTCCCTAGGCATTGCTGTCACCAGTGACTCCCAAAATTTAAGAGCGACATTGTGGAAGTCCTTCTCTGTAATCATATCCTCCTGCCTCTCCTACAACTGCCATCCTCCCTCAGCTTCCTTTCATACAGTCCTCCTACCCCCCAATTCTTTTCTTCCTGATCCAGCTTAGACCCCACATACCACTTCAGTCTTTCCCCACAGTATATAGAACTCATAGACATGTCTCCCTTTATTGTATCTGCCCAGGAAAACCAAAGCCCTGGAAGATTCCAAATATCTCTTTGTTCCATGGCTGGTCTGCACAGCTATACACAGCCAGGCAAAATGGTACCTCCAGACTAGAGTTTCTCAGCCTCAGCACTGCTGGCATTTTGGATCAGTTATTTGTTGTGCAGGGCAGGCCCATACATTGTTTCTACCCACTAGATGCCAGTAGCACTTCCCACCTAAGTTGTGACAACCAAAAAGGTCTCCAGATGCCCCCACGGTCTAGAGCTCCCTTCAGTTAGCCCCTAGCTGTGTAGGGTGGCCTTATGTATTCCCATCTCCTCTTACTCTCAGTTCATCACCTTCCACTCCCAATAGGAATGGGGATCTTCTGAAGAGATTAGAATCTAAGAATTTATATTAATTAATTAATTAATTTATTTATTTATTATTATTTTTTTTTGAGACAGAGTCTCACTTTGTTGCCCAGGCTAAAGTGAGTGCCGTGGCGTCAGCCTGGCTCACAGCAACCTCAATCTCCGGGGCTCAGCGATCCTACTGCCTCAGCCTCCCGAGTAGCTGGGACTACAGGCATGCGCCACGATGCCCGACTAATTTTTTGTATATATATTTTTAGTTGGTCAATTAATTTATTTCTATTTTTGGTAGAGACAGGGTCTCGCTCAGGCTGGTTTCGAACTCCTGACCTTGAGCAATCCGCCCGCCTCGGCCTCCCAAAGTGCTAGGATTACAGGCATGAGCCACCACGCCCGGCCTCAATATTTATTATTTATATTCCTCAGAATCTAAGAATTTGTAAAGAGGGAGTGATCTCTCCTTACAGTTGAGATCATTATCAACAACTCTGTTCTGGGTCCCAACTTCACCCACCCTATGTAAATTCTTTCTTCTTTCCTCTCCATTGTGCACTGTCTCCTTGGCAACCAAATAAGCTCAGGTCCAACCAATCACATAACATATATCCTTCCCCATGCCAACTCTGCCTCCAGCTACCTGCCTTTTCTTCCAGTAAAATCTTGTCAAAGGGGCTCCACTGATGTCACCTCCAACCCCCACCATCATAAGGGCATGATCCCACTTGTGCCAAAGATCTCCATGGGAAGAAGACCAAGTCTTTTCTTACCTTCATCTTTTTCCCACAGCAGGATTTAACCATTTCTTCCTGGAAACCACTCTCTTTCCCCTTCACTCCTATGATGCAACTCTGGTTAGGGATTCCTATTACTTCACTAGACATTCTTTCTCAGTCTGTAAGTCCTTCCTCAAACATTAACTGTAGGGATTCACTTGTCCCCATTCTCTTCTAGGTGGCCCTCCCTTCCCTGCCCCCCTGGGTCTCCTGGAAGCCCAGACTTGGCATATACAACAGCACTTCCCAGCTACCCCTCCTTACCACAAATGATATTGGCATTTTCTCTTCAATTGTATTCCAATTGCTGCCTTACCTGCACCCAGAGGCTCTAGAAGGAAACTGAAGTAATCTTTGAACCACTTCTTCCAAGCCCTCAAACCCAAATCATCAACTTTCTTGGGCAATTCCATTCTCCATGGAACCTTGACCCCTAAAAATCCTATTATACCCTGGCCTTTTCAACAATAACAGTGTTGAATAGCTCTACAGAGTCCCTTACACACTCAATGACAGAGTATGAGCACAATAATTCTTTTGTTTGTAATGTGAATTATCAAACTGCCATTTTATTTTTGCATTTCTCTCATATTCCTCCCTGATTCCAAGTACCTATATATGGCCTACTCAAGGCTACCCTTATCCCATTTTAGAAGTTCCCCAAGCATTAATGGCTAGCATTTATTGCAATCCAACCCACAGCTCAAGTGTTCTTTTAAAACTTATGTTACTGTCCTGTTTCTAAATCCTCAGTGGTTTCCCACTGGCTTCAGAAAAAGGTCGACAGGGATAATGGGGTCCTCAGCCTGCAACACTCTCCTGCCTAGTTCACATCACTTCCTTTCTTTTTCTCCTGGAATGTGCCATGCTCTCTGCTCCCTCAGGGATGTGACGCACATGGTTGAGGCTCTCATTAATTCTCTCTCTAAATATACTCTGCCCAACCTTCTGTCTAGCTAAATCCTGCTAATCCTTAAGGTCTCAGAGCTCAAATAAACCGCCTTTTTAAAAATCTTCCCATTCTCCACAAATAAGTCCTGTAGCTCTATACTCCCATAGAACTCTTGCTGTGACTTAGATAAAAGGTATCTTCAAACCTGCCCTGGGAGCCTACCGGGGACAGACTGTGTGTGCCTGTTCTGGTGGCCACTGTGACAGCACTCTCAGCACAGGCCCAACCTAGCAGGCCTAAGATTAGCTGAGGATTAACTGCTGACCATGTGGGGTCAACACCTTCCTTGAGAATGCAGCAGCCTAGCTAGGCTGAAAGACATGCAAGAAGCATAAAAGAACATTGACATTTCATGTAAGAATTACTTTAAATGCCTGCCAATGACACCTTACACATTATATCCTTGTTTGTACAGTGGTGAGTAAAAATAATCAATCACACATTACAAATGTTTCAGGAAATGCTTCAGAAATAAAATTATTTCCTCTGAGGACAAGGTGATTCTTCTCTAAAACACATGTCTATGTTTAAAACATTTATTGTCTATTTAGCTTTCTCTTCCTTTTCTCAGAAGTCCTAAGACTTTTCATTGGCCAAAACTCAACTGAAGAGTCCCACACAAATTTATTTAAAGTTAGTGAAAAACAATTTTTTACTTCAAGAGCCTGTGAATACAACAAATCAAATATAAACACTGTAACTGAAATATGACTTTTCTTAAAATAGCTCACCTTAAAGAACAACCTTGAAGCCTTCAGTGGCTGACACTTCTGGTAGGTAACCAATTGTCCTAAAAAAAAGAGCAATATTGGAAGTGTAGCTTTGGAACCCCTGCAACTCAGCAGAGCAGCAGGCAGTCTCTGGGGCTGGGTGCTTTAAATTCTTCCAGGCCAAGGTGGCCATCACGAAAGCCCTTTATAGCCCCAAGGTTGACACAATTACACCCTGACGGCACCTAGGAGGTTTATCTTTTCATAGGGTAATATAGAGCACAACAGAAGGGAAACACCCAACTGGTGAGTCTACAGAAAATGAAAAGTACAGAAGAGTAAAATGAGGAGGAGGGGCACCAACTCCAGCAGGGGCTGGGCACCAGCAACAATGCTTGCTAAGACCTCTGGTTGCCAGACCTAGTTTGACCAGCTTTATAAGAACCTCTCTGGGGGTAGCGTGGAGACACACTCAAAAGACTCCGAGTTACTGGGCAACTTCGTTGAAATATGCTTTTCAGTAGGAAAATCATATGCACTATCATCACCAACATTCATGTGATAAAGCTGTCCCCAAAGGACTAGGACATGGGCTGAAGACCATGGAATTCTTGTGAGAAAAACTAAGCTGCGTTCTTAGTTTTGGAAATATGAAATTTCGAAAAAGTCAGTTAATTTTGTCGAATCTGTTGTGTTAAAATAAAACTATATCTTCCTTACAATTGTCTGCGATTATTACATGATACTATTGGGAGGAGCTGTACACATGAAAGCATTATAGTTGTCAGGAAACCTATTCAGAAATAGTACAGTTTCAAATACTCTGGAACAAGTCTTCAAGAGGCTGTAACCACCCATAGTCCCCTCTGCCTTTCCCCCCAAGAGACAGTGCAACCCAGTCATCTTAGCTTGGTCCACTTTCTGCCCTGTTAACTCCAGCTCCCAGCTCCTTCCAGGGTGATCTGAAGTTCATTCAACACCTGGGGCCTCTCTGGGGACACACATAAGTTGGCAGCCAGACCCACTTTACCCCGTTCAGAAAAGACCTCGTGAGCCTGTAGACCGTGGTACTGCATAGAGAAGGCTGACCATGGAACTGCTGGGAGGACTTTGCTCAACTCCCCATGGTGACTGGGTCGTGATGACTTCCAAGTTCTACATCTGTGGCTTCCAAACGTGCTGATGCCCGTGGACCACCCAGGGATTTCGTTAAAATACAGACTGTAAAACAGGTCACGGTGGGGACCCAAGAGTCTGCACTTCTAAAACCCCTGGGCAAAGTGCCCTTCAACCCCCCACCCCCGCCCTGCACAGGTTAGACTGGATTTACACTTGCCTTCAGGCAGATCCAATCAAGATAAAAAGGGTGTGCCTAAGAGTACTAGCACTAGTCCTGTTTATTTGCAAAGTAAATAGGGCGGTTTAAGCACCACCCAGCACATTTTCTTTTGTTCAGGACTGAGGTGCCGGTAAAACCTAGACTTCACCTACTTTACATATCTGTGCACCAGGGAGGCCAGAGGAGGGCTTTCACTAGGAGCCCACCCCCGCCATCACTCAGAGCACCAATTTTAACCTCCAGACAGCAGGGAGCACACACAATACCATTGTCCCGAATGCCTTAATTACTCAGATAGTTTGCTCCTAAAACCAAAGTCCACGGGAACCGCGCGGCCTCAGGACTATGCCGCGGACTGTTTTGTTCTAAGACTTACCCACAGAGGAAGCAGGACTGATTTCTATGAAGCAAGCAAGGCTTACAGCCCAAGGCCCCCAAATTCCACCCGAAGCTTAACAACGCAGAGGGCTCCGAGGAAAATCCAGGTGCATCTTCTGTTTGTTAACCTGAAAATAGAAATTCAAATGGCCAGGGACAAACGCTTTCTGCTAAGGTTGGAAACCCCAGGGACGCGGCTGTGCGTACTTTGGCGGGAAGCACCGCTGAGGTCGTGTGACAAGGTAACTGCGTTCCCGTGGCCTCCACCTGGCGACTCAACAGCCTCGGGACCGCCCGCCCCAGCAGGAAGGCTGTCCCCAGGCCGGCGCGGGCTCGGGCTGCAGCTTCCGGGCGAGGGGCGGAGCCAGCAGCAGGGAGGGCGGGGCGGCTCCGGGCCCGGGTGTGGGGGAGAGGAGTTACCCCAGGGGCCTCCAGGGACCAGAGGACAACGGGTAGGGTAGGTGTGACTTCCCGGGTCGGCAGGGGCTGGAGCTGTCACCCCCGGGAGCTCCCAGACGGGTGGGCAGGGTACGGGGAGGCGGGAACGAGGAGCGCCAGGACACGGGCGGGGCGGGGAGGAGAGCGGAGCGCCCGGGCCCGCTCCCGGTCGAAGGGGCTGAGTTGAGGGGCGGGCTGCCGGGGGCCTCCACAGCGGCTCACCAGGCTGGGGACGGGCAGTCGGGATCTAAGAAGCGTGGGTCCGGAGTCCGGGAAGCAGAGGCCGCGTGATCCGAGGCCAAGAGCCGGACGTGGGTCACGGGGTGCAGAGGAGGAAGTGCCCCGCCGGCCCGCCAAGAAGTCACCAATGGGAAACGCGTGCCTGCAGGTGTGGCCCGCGGCCCGCGCGGTCGGCCAGGCAGGAAGTGGGGGAAGGAGAGAAGAAAAGCAGGGAGAGAAGTAAGACAGTTCTCAGTGAGTTCTCCAGACAAGAGCCGAGGGAGGGAGGGAGCGAGCGAGCGAGCTGGGGAAAGTCCAGAGCACCAGCTAGGGAGGGAGGGGATGGGGGGACCGGGACGGGTAGTGCAGTGTGGAAGAGAAACCACCAGACTAAACGGAAGCTAGTACCTTCACTACCAACAATACCTTCTTTTGTACATTTGACCACGGACTCATGTAAACAGTTTGCATAACCAAAATAATTTAAAACACAATTCCTAAAATGTATACCTAGCAAGCAATTATATTTTAGGAACTTTTGAATCTTAACTCAAATGATATGGAGAACAATTATAAAACAATTGTAATGATGTGAGCAGTGAGTGACTGGATATTTTATATTAGGAATTACAAATTTTGCTATTATGCTACCGTAATCTTCTTTACAAGACCCTTTATAGAGAAACTATCCAGTCCTTCCTCTGAATAGTTCCAAATAAAAGGACTGAGTGTCATTTACTGACACGTACATGGGAGTTCCATTTTAATATAGTCTACCTTTGTTATTTGAAATAGCCCACAGTAAAAATGCCACCAACACTACACTACCTCCTTGCTCATTTCTTACTATCAGAGAATGAAGACAATTCAGAGGATTCAAAAATCCAGTCATTCCAAGGAAAGTGAGAAAGAGACCAAAAACACATTTAAGAGAATAAAGGAAAATTAGCCAGAAAATTGGCTTGTTTTCAGAAAGAGTACCCAGTATGAAAATGGCCTTAACTGCTTCATAAGCATTAACTGTTTCTTAAAATCTTCCTCAGATAAATATTCTTGGTAATTTATGATTGGCATGCAAATATTACTAATTTTATTTGAATGCACTTGTTGCATTCAAGTAGTTTTATTTATGCCTTCTTCCATTAACTGGTTCATGACTCAGGCAAGGCAAGTGTTCATTATTGATCAAACATGACATGGGCGGTGAGGGAACAATGTGTACACAGGCCTGGAGCCAGAGGATCAAGTCGTGTCAATTTTGGAAGGAGGTGGCAGAGGAAGGTTCTTCCAACCCTTAAAGGCCTGGTTTGGTGTTTTGGATGCTATTCTAAGGCCAACGGGAAGCCACTTAATTGTTTCAAAATGGAATGTGGTGTGATTTAAGTTTTGCTTTTTAATAGAACATTACTAGATGCTATCTGGAAAACGAATAGTGGGAAGACACATAGGGACAAAATGGGAAGCAATGAACAAATCCAGGAAGACTGAATTGGGAATTGCATAATGTGAAAGGATTTGAGTGATGTGCAGTAGATAAAAATTTACCAAACGTGGAGAGATCCATTCATTCACCAAGAAATATACTGTGCACTTCCGTAAGATGCAGACACTGTGCTAGGGGCTGGGCTTAGATAGTGGGAATGACAAGCATAGTTCCTGCCTTAGTGAGTCCACAGAACAGTAGACTAGGAAATCAACAAAGAAACGCACAAGCAAATTTATGACAAATTTTGGCATTAACAAAAAATAGAAAATGTGGATTAGTTCAGAGGGGGTTTTGAGGAAGAGACATTTAAACAGCCAGGAAGCATAAACGGGGTAGGCGGGAACTGAGTGTGACAGAATTCCATAAAGAACGGGAACTATTCCCCCCATGCCCATACATAGCTAAGGTTTAAAACAAGTAGAAGTTAGAAGCCCATATTATTCTTTGTTTCCTTTGTACATTACCTATGTATTCCCTCTGGACACTTGTTCAAATTCTTTCTTTCTTTTAATGCAGCTCTTTGCCAGGATATGTTTTGGTGTTGTTTGCTTTGTAGTAATATTTTATTTGTGGGGAATCCTTTTAAATCTTTATGTTCAATTTTTATTAAATTAAATTCACCAAATAGAACTTAGGATACAGTTTCTGCTGCTCATGCCTGTTCACATTAGGAGCATGGATGGGTCTTGAGGGGGAAAACTCCCTGTCATGGTACGGCATGTGAACTGAGCCCAGACCTGTGTGTCATTAGAAATTGGATTTAATGGCCTCAAAAGTCTATTCCAACCAGCAATTTTGTAACATCCCAAGTCAGTAGCTTTTAAACACTTCTAGAAGTCATGGGTTCACTTAAATATATGATGCAAGTCTGGACCAACTTCATTGGGAAAAAAAAAAAGGACCAACATAACAGTTGTATTTATTTAACTTTTCAGGGGCTCATGGATATGAAGTGTGAGAGTTCTGACCCAATTTGTACAACATGCCAAGCTCCATACACAGAGCTATCCTAAGAGCTACTAAGGTCCAAGAAGCTGCAGACAGACCTTTAACATTTTAAATGTTTATGCTATTACAAATTTTTATCGAACAAAGGGGATCTGTCATGACCTGCATGCAACAGGAAAGCTGTCTTCCATTACTTTCTAGCTATCAGGCCCTTTAGCTTACTTAACCAAGTTAATAGTTAAGCCTAAGTCTAGGGGAATAATAGTTTTCCTCAGTGTTAATTTCTCAAAAGCAGTGTTACTAAAAAGCAAAAATAGTATAATGTAATGTTAGGTAAATTTTACCTACGCTTGAAATGAACACATTTTTACCCAACATAGAACAGCTGTTCTTTGATATTCACTGTATTTTGCAAATTGACTCAAGTATCAAGATATCTCAGGTAAACAAAGGAAAACACAAAAATGTATATATTAGGTGAGGATTCTTTAAAATGTTCAAAGGAAGCACTATTAGACTTCTGTTCCTAAAGATAAAATCTGTTCTCAAGTGAGAGAAAATGTCATCATTTCAGATGAATTGGAGGCTCTCTCCCCATAGTAGAAAATAAGATCCATGAGTAGCTTAAGAAATAGAAATGGGTGTGTACAGATTCTGCTAAAGAAAAATACAATTATGGGAAGGTAAGACTCCAGGACCACCTCCTGTAACCCTGAGCAAGCAGCCCCTGAGTGATGCAGTCAAATTCATGAGCTGGGCAGAAAGGCTCATGGTGCCCACAGCCCCCTCAGAAAGGTGTCCCCATTAGGAGCCTAGGAGGGATGGGCCTCCATCGAAAACTGACACCTTGTCAAGTTCCATGTAGCCTGCCACAGGAGTTGAGACTGTGCTCTTTGTAGCTTAGGAGGCCATAGCATTCTGCCTCAGGGGAGTAGAGAACAGCTGGGAGAAGGAAAGGAACATGGCAATATACTAGAGAGGGTATCAGCACCCACAGAACACACACCTCACCCAGGCAGGAGGCGGGCTTTTTTTGAGACAGAGTCTCACTTTGTTGCTCAGGCTAGAGTGCCATAGCGTCAGCCTAGCTCACAGCAACCTCAAACTCCTAGGCTCAAGCGATCCTCCTGCCTCAGCCTCCCGAGTAGCTGGGACTACAGGCATGTGCCACCATGCCCGGCTAATTTTTTCTATATATATTAGTCAGTCAATTAATTTCTTTCTATTTATAGTAGAGAAAGGGTCTCACTCTTGCTCAGGCTGGTTTCGAACTCCTGAGCTCAACTCAAGCAATCCTCCTGCCTCAGCCTCCCAGAGTGCTGGGATTGCAGGCGTGAGCCACCACACCCAGCCTCAGGCAGGTTAAGCCACCAGAACTGCAGGACAAAAACCATAATTATTTTCACAAAGACAAAAATATAACGAGCACTTTTAGATATTCCATTATAGAATAAAAACCTTTCTGGTACTAAAAATTACTGAGTTTTGATTTATCAGTTAACAAATGGAAGAAATGTCTCAAAAAAAAAAGGAAAAGGAAAAGAAATAATGGGTCGGGTGGGATGATCACTCAAGGTCAGGAGTTCAAAACCAGCCTGAGCAAGAGTGACACCCCGTCTCTACTAAAAATAGAAAGAAATTAATTGGCCAACTAACAATATATAGAAAAAATTAGCCGGGCATGGTGGCACATGCCTGTAGTCCCAGCTGCTCTGAAGACTAAGGCAGGAGGCTAGCTTGTGCCCACCAGGAGTCTGAGGTTGCTGTGAGCTAGGCTGATGCCACGGCACTCTAGCCAGTGCAACAGAGCGAGACTCTGTCTCAAAAAGAAAAAAGAAATAATGGGGGGAAGACATACTTTTTCCAATGCAGTTTTCTTTATATTCTAAACTTAAGAGTTTTATTAGGCTGGGCACGGTGGCTCATGCCTTAAAAAAAAAAAAAAAAAAAAAAAAGACACAATGCAGGCATATTAATAAAAGTCTTTTTTTTTTTTCTTTTTCCAGAGTCTCACTTTGTTGCCCAGGCTAGAGTGAGTGCTGTGGCATCAGCCTAGCTCACAGCAACCTCAAACTCCTGGACTTAAGCAATCTTGCTGCCTCAGCCTCCCAAGTAGCTGGGACTACAGGCATGCGCCACCATGCCCGGCTAATTTTTTCTATGTATATATTAGTTGTCCAGCTAATTTCTTTCTATTTTTAGTAGAGACAGGGTCTCGCTCTTGCTCAGGCTGGTTTCAAACTCCTGACCTTGAGTGATCTTGCCAGCCTTGGCCTCCCAGAGTGCTAGGATGAGCCACCGCGCTGGGCCTGCATTGTATCTTTTAAAAATGTCCTAATGGAAACTACAGAATTGAGGTTAAGCCAGGAATATTCCCTTCCATTTTTTATCTCTTCTCTTGCCTCAATCTGTGTCTTTTTTCTCCTCCTGGAATTCCTATTATTCACATGTTATTTCTCCTGTCTCAGAAGGAACCAACCCTGTCAACATCTTGATATTAAGACTTCAAGCCTCCAGAACT